TATATAGTGCCATAATTATCAGGTTAACAAAATGCAGTCTTATATCATAAATTCTTGCTAGTTTTCACTTCCAACACAACATAAGCCTTGACAAATATTGACTTATCATAGAGTTAATAAGCAAAACTTTTAAATAATCACACCTTCTACTTACTATTTGGACATGCAAATAACTTTATTTTTAGGGGGCTTCGGAACGTATAGTACTACTTAGATCAAAATTAACGAAAGAGCTTGCTAAACTGACTGAAAAATCCCTAGAAAAGATAATATCAATTCGAGAACGGATTCAGCGCATATCACAAGCTTGTAAAAATGATATGTTGGAAGAGTAATACAATAACATCAAGTTGTATTGATAATAGACAATGCATCTTCTAAAGATCGCGATGATATAAGAATTAATCTTATCAATATATGAAGTTTTACTGTGGAAAATAAAGAAAAGATATTTTAAACTTTTTTGTTATTTTCCGTAATTACTTCTAGTTTCGGAAGTGAAATGTTGCAAATTCTCCGTTTCTGCAATCAAATGTTACAAAACAATTGAAAACGGTTACGAATGTCGTACTTCGATAGTTTATATATATAATTCCTTCACTAAATGCTTAAAAGTTTGAATAATCAAAAATACTGCTTGAGACATGCCAATTCTTCATGACTGTAATGTTCATTTGAATAAATTCGCTAATTGAGTTATTATAGAGATAACTTGAAGTCTGCGTAATTTAAATCGCCAGGGTGATATATGCGTAGGGATAAGTTATATGCAGAATGTACATAATTTGTATGATACAAATAAGCAGTAAGAATGAAAATAATGACTTTTGAAAAAGTAGAGGATAAAATTAAGCCAGTAAGAAAGAACGGTTGTGGCCGGACGTAAGATTTACGTAAGCAACTGGATCTTAATATAATCATACATTCTTTCTTGTGTCGTGTAATCAAGGTTTAACATGAAGTTCTTCTCTCCACATTTACAATGAAATGATTCAAAGGCATAACATTTCTCCCCTTCCCTTTTAACTTTAAGTCACAATCTTCAGAGTGATAGCTAGAGTTTTTGATATATGAATGCAGTCATGGAACTAATATTTTCATATTGGATTCGAATTGATTTGATGAAGGACGCATTATGTTGCGGGTATTCAATCGTTGACCTGATCTCTCCTTTATTTCAGTCGGATGTCTTGTGTTGGCTCTGGAAAGATAAAGAGCGGGAGGGAGGTATTATGTTTGTCTGTACATGCCTGGTTGTGCTGAAGTGCTTTTAGTGCTTCTATTTTGGATAGTAAAGGTTTTTTCAGAAGTCTTTAAAGTCGAGTTATGAAGCCTGCGTGATATGTTGTTTTTTTCCTTGGATATCTGGAAGTTTATTGTTTTCTTGTTTATAGATTGGAAAATTGGTTTCAAAATTCAACTTAAATTTCTATGGCTGTATCGTCAAAATACGTGTGGTTATACCTAGCATGAATTTCAAGTATTACTTAACTATGTTTGTTATAGTGAGTACAGAGGATTCCAGAAGATTTGGACTCAAGATGACTGCTGAAATGAGGGATATGATCAATCAGTTAATGGGAACAAATCGTGCGGAAGAAGAAGGCCGACGACTTGTGCCGTATAATCATCATACGGTTTGCAGAGCATTCCTACTTGGCTGCTGCCCACATGAAATTCTAGCTGACACACGTCTCGAAGCTCTCGTTGCCTGCAATAAAGTTCGATTATTTTTGAAATATCAAAATATGTTAGACTATAATGCTGTATTTAGCAAGACACTGTTGAGTTATTGTAGGCATAACTGCGTAATTTGATTCGCCAAGGTAACATGTGCGTAGGGATGGTAAGTTGTATAGAGGATTTACCTTAATTTCTTTCTATGCTTCATGTAATTTCTACCTGACAAAGTCTTAGATTTCACTTAGATTTAATAATTGTGGATCCATTTCATGTATTTTTTTTCCATGTATATCAAAAGTTAGATGAAGTGTGTGAGTTTGAGTAAATGATATTCGTATGTTTTCTTATACATTTCGTGTTTGTATGTGTGTTTGTATAACGAGCAATTTGTGTGTACCGTTCAATTTTCAGGTTCATGAGAGTGCTCATAAAGCTGATTATGAAAACGCTCAGAAGCAGAAAGATCATTTTTATGATATCGATGTATGTTGCGGTTTTTTCTTCAAATTTTTTGTTGCTGATGATAGATTCGCAATCTCACTTCTTAATTACCTTTGTTGTGATCATGCTTTAAGCTTGCGAATAATTTAGATGTGATAGTATCTACTTGAGAAAAATGTGCATCACTATAAATTTGCTCCACTCCATTTTATGTTTCACCATTTCGAGATTGCTATGTCCATCATGATCTTAAGTTTTTAAACGAAATTGACATCATAATTATGAGCAGAGTCTGGTTGGGACTGTCACTGCAAACGAGGTAGCATAATGACTGTCCTTTAACTACTAGTTTTGGTCAAATTATTTTCGGAGCCATTTTTTCAGTTTTCTTACTTTAGGTGTTGTTGTTGTTTTATGCTTGTGGAAGGGAGAGTGCCCTTCGTGCAAATACCGAGAAACTCTTTCAATCATCGTCCGAAAAACATAATGGGAATTCGTATGTATACTGTTGTAATTTCTTAAGTGTGTCAAAGTGACAGAAAAGATTTTTTATTTCTGCATTCTGCAGTCATCTTTGTCTCAATCTGAAACATCACTTTAAGTCCCGAATATGAAAGAGTTAAATCGAAAAATCGGTGACGCGTTTTCTTCCTATTTATCGTAACAGCACTATTAGCTTGGAGTTTAAATTAGTTGAATTCTGGGCACAGAAATGGAGTTATTTCTTTGTGGTAATTAAAATTTGCAGCTGATTGGATTTCTCTGCAGCGCGTGCCTTCATCCTGGCTCAGTCATTCTACGGATTGTCTGTTTTTTTTTCACTTTCATGTTAATCATTATCGTTTCTTTTTTCTGTCCGTTCAGGCTTGTAACTGTTCTTGAAGTCGATGGAAGATGAAGTCTCCCTTTGTTGTTTATTAACAGTTTTTCTAGCAAAAGTATAAAGTTTCAGGGATTTGAGAGGTTGGAAGAAGCAATTCATGTTGTCGACAAAGAAATTGAACGCACAAAAGAGAAATTGAAGAAAGATTGTGAAAATGAAATTGACCAGGCTGAGATGCTCAAGGTTTCGTTTCGTTTTAATGTGATAAGATTTTTAATCTTCTGAAATACACAATGTTATCATGCTAGGCACAGATGATCGGAGAACTGGGTGAGAAAATTGGGACAACAATCGTCAAAATGGAAACACTCGGAAATGAAGGTAAAGTAGAAGAAGCGATGGAATTATCCAAAACAATTGAGGAATACAAGCGCAAGAAGCGTGATCTTGAAGTTTGGGTTTTCTTATCGCTGTTTTACTACCTTTATTTTCCATGTAAACTGATTTGTTTTTACTTTGTCATTTTTCTCTTCTTCCAAATTTAGTTTGAGTATTACCATATTATGATCCTGACAAAGTTAAATTTCGAAGTAATTTACATTGTTAGAGTGAAGTGTAGTTGTAAAGAACTACAAATAAGATACGGAAAGCTGATTCTAATTAGCTGCTTTTTCAATTTTGTGACCTGTAACTGTTTGTAGAATGATGTGCGGACAGTTTTAAATACACCTCAAGTGAGACTTCGAGTGTGTGATATGTGTGGCGCGCAGCTAAGTTTGATGGAACATGAGACGCGCTTAGCTGATCATTATGGAGGTAAAATGCACTGTGGTATGGAAAATATCCGTTATCAATACGACGAAATGAAGGTGATTATTTTGCAGTTTTAGGATTCAGTGCATCTTAAGAACATGATTTGTGAACCAAGATGTAGACTCACAATTCATTTGCATTCTAAATGACTATGAATTGGAGCTTGGGGAATACTACTTTTAGCAGAAGTATTGATTACAAACAATAATGAGAAATAGATAGATAATGGGCTACACTATTTGCCCACGAACTAACTTCAAATAATTCAATTGTTAATAATTTGTTGAGGTTTTATTCTAATAATTATAGAAAACAATTAATGAAAGGCGTTCAGCGTGGAAGAAGACACGATTGGGTTTAGGAAGTCCACAAGATGATAGGAGGTAAACTGATTGCTTAGCGGTAAATATATGACAAATACTGATACTAGCTGTTACTGGGAATTTTTGTAGTGCTCGAGATAAAAGAGATCGTAGTCGGGATTGTCGAGGACGAGAACGTGACCATGACTCTAGAGATCGTGAGAGAGATCGAGAGCGGACTCGAGATCGCGAGCGTAAACGCAGGCTAGTTATTTTTTGCAATCTTTGGTGTTTAGCACTTTTGTGTAATTGGCATGGTGTAAAGAGTTCATTAATAAAACTGTTAGTTAAAGTGCAATGACATTTTTAAGAATATCAGTATTTTTTCCAGCCGCTCACCGAGATGCCGATCTCGTTCTCCTCATTCTTCTCGTGATCAAGATCGTGATTTTAGGCGGAGTAATCGTGAAAGGTGCATTTAATTAGTGGGTTCATGACATGTATAGAATCTGTCTGCTGATATTTATAGACATACTTGTTCCTAGTTTTTGATCAGATGTTTTAACAAGCTTCATGATTGAAAATGGTGTTTTGAATGTTCAGCTATGAGCAAAATTAAACATGTACTAATCGCAAGTTTTTCCTATTTGTATGGGGGAATGTAATATTAATTGTAATCTTCATTGTGCAGTGATGTGCAATTGCATTAATTTAATTTATGGAACATTCTGTGCTTTTCATTTTGACAGAAATGACATGATCTAACGAAACATTTAATTTAATATACGGAAGTTTTAGAAGGCGGAGTCGTGGTTATCGATAATCCGGCAAGTATCCAACGGATAATGGTTCGAGTACACATTTCGAAATCTGTACGGAATGCAAAGTTACTGATAATTAAGAACGCTTCATTTTAGCCATTCTGAACCACTTTTTTTTATGTTGTAAGCCACCATATTCCGTTTCTAAAATAAAGTATTATACTATTTAGCTTAGCATGAGATGGCAGTTGTTCATGGGCTTGAATTAAAAACCAAAGCGTTAAAATAAAGGCAGCACTAAAGAGGTCTTGGTGACTGTGGAATTTTGTTGAAAAATAAGTGACATTTACTTGATACTCTCTGGCTTTTGGTTCTTTCTTTGAGCAAATTGGCTCGAAAATTTATTGCAGGTGGTGGTGGTGACACGGATAAAGGGACAACTTTGAATGTAGAACTCCTGGAAAGCACGATCAGAGCATCTATTTAATTTGTCTGACTTAATCAAGCGAGTATATAAGATCTTGGTCTTACTTAGTATGCGTGACGTATGCATCCTTACTCACTTTAACCACTCTGTGCCTACGTCGATTTTTTCTCCCTTTCAGTTTCTGAAAATATAAGCAACTTCTAATGCGCGGAAAATCATACTATTATATAGGATTAAAGAAATGACCTTGATTAAACGACAAGGTCCGAAACACATACTTTCGTAGTCGGAACAGTTCCTACATTAATCCGCACTTTTGATGAGGTTTCTACAGGAAGGTCGTCCTCACTGTCTCCTTCGACGAAATCGGGTGCAGCTAAATACATCGTTATGAAAAGATAGAGCAAAAAAATATAACATGCGAAACAAGTACCGTGTCCACAAAAGACAATAAAATAATACGTTTTGCACTGTCTACTCTATCCATCAATTTGTTTCTTCACGGTTTTGAGTTTTTCTGCTTCAGCTAGTTCCCTTTCCAGATTCGTAATCTTTTCTCTTTTCTAAAATTAAGAACTGATAAGAGCTCAAGCCGAGTTAAACAACTAATATGTGTGATACGAATAACTCGACCCCAGCGGTAATATAAAGTTGATATCATTATTTAGTTGACGCATTGGAAATTATCGAGAACTTTTTTAATTATCACGGTTGTACCATTCATATACACTACACTTATTCCATTTAAATCAAATATTATTAAAATAATGTTAGCTAACAAATACTAACTGTTTTTGTCGAATACTTAGTAACACAAGGTAGCCATCATTATGTCTAGTGATACCTAGCAATACCTCTTTAACAAATCGTTCTAATCGATCAACAGTTTGAAAACACTTCTCAAGTTGATCAACTTGCTCCTTAATCGTAGTCAGGCTATCAGCAACTGCCTTTATATCCGCTTTGACTAGTTCACCTAAAGTTTTCAACTCTTCTGCTGCAATAACACACTCCTCAGCGCAATCAAGCGTTTCTTTATCACTACCAACCTAAAACTGCTAGCATTTTGGTGACATGGTAAGCATTGAGATATTGTATCACTTGAGTAGATAGAAAAAGACCTTCAATGAGACTGCTAGCAAACAGTTTGTGATATTATTTGACAAAGTTGAAAGTTCGCTTTTCACAATATTCTGTGGTACCCCACTGTTACCAGCCGCAACCATAAACAGCACTAAAGAACAGAAATACCGCCCTTTAGCTGAAGATTTTAAAATTAATACTGATATGGATTTAATTTCCACTTCCATGTGAAAGTCTTGTTTTCTCTTAGTTTGTCTATTTAAAAGAAATATGAATCGCAATCGAGAACATTACAGTACAAACTGTGACTATTCATATTTCATAAGACACGGAAAAAAAAGTAGATATAGCAGCTGCTGCTAATGATGATAATGACAGTGATGAACAATGATACAAATTTTAATAAAAATGCTTGATTCGGATGAAAATCATCATATTTACGAAATATATTTGGAAAAAATCAATACCATTATATCTTGTTTTTGGTGAGGCAAATATGATTTCAAACAAATTAATCACAATTACTATGGATAATTTTCGCACAATAATTTTGTGATGAAAAAAAGCTAAAAGTCAATATAACCTTGAATTATACTCAACTAAAAAACTACTTCAATTTCTTGCTATAAACAATAATGAATTATACTTCTTATGAACAAGTGCAAAAAGTAGATTGAAGATTCTAAGTAATACCGTTTTTAGCAAACATAACAATGAGATTTGAATCTGTAACAACTGTAAATACAGATCTCACTCCCTTAATGCAAAGAGAAATAAAACATGAAACCGTAAAAATAACAGAAAACAAATGCAATATTTCAGTTATTCAGTGATTTTCAGTCCTCTGATGCTCTTAATTCGGCTTTGACAGTATCACCATCATTAGAGAGCAATAACTAAAAACAGAATATATGAAAACTTTATAAATCAATCACCATTAATTTCAGAACTTAAGTCACATCATTAAAAACTGATTACTTCTTTTCTAACTTTCTATATGAAACTTTCGTTTCTATGGCCATAAATTGGAAAAAAGGACGCAAATATGCAAAATAAATGCATGCTACTATCGAGATCAAAAAAAATAGTAGGCAGCAAAAAAAGTTAGAGACATCATTAGACCTCCTATCAGCCTTGATTTATAACAGACTGCGACTTAATCAACATCCTGAATATCATGAAGTCTGCTTGAATCGAGTAAAATTTAGGACTGCTATCTTTAAAATATTTTTCAAAATCCTCAAGCAGATAAGTCTCATCAAAACTTACCTCTCTTAACTCGAAATATTTAAATCCACTACTGATGTGAGCATAATTTGCAGCACTGCATATCATAAAATGCTCTAGTCCTTTGATTATTATCAAGCATGAGATTAAACCAAGTAAATACCAAGCGAATGCGCTCCACGAAAGAGCACAGAATTGCTGCACCTCACCATCACAAAGTTTTAAAGACTGAAAAACGCGCGATAACAAGCACCTATTACACCTTCAATTAAAAAGATGTAAGTTCAATTCACTCAAAATTTAAAAATAGATAATTTGTTTCAAATCACTAGAATTAACATTAAACCATTTAGTATGTAGTCAGAAAGTATCGCAAAACATTAATGATGACTGAAAGCAGACCACAGGTATATATCCACATTGAAATTACAAATTAAATATAAATTTTACTGCGTCTAAGCAATATTTCTTGCATTATTCTGAGATTAAAAGGTGAAAAAATATCGTTCATTCTCATATTCAAAATTTTATAGAAGAGTTCATTCATCAACAAGCTCTTAGCGACTACTATGAATAACCTAGGATTAACCCTCACTTTTTGAAGACTCTGCGAGTTTATTAACCCGACTAGCGCGTCATAAGAGCTTAATTTATTATGTATAATTCACTACAAGAAAAATTAACATCAAGCCTTACAGCATTGGAAATCTGTTGAAAAACTGGTTGAAAAAGTGAAAAGTCGAGGCATGCAGAATTGCTGAAAGATAACGAGGAACATAGAATTGTACATACATAATAAATGAAACACAGAATGACCACAACCGCAAAACAAATCAGCCAACATATATTCAGAACATATGCAGTAATTAGTGAGAATGCATTTGCCATTTTGCCACCTATACGACCTCGCATTCCTCTGAAATAATTTAACGAGATAGCTATTTCGGTAGAATGCTTTCACTACTATAATAATAATACAGATTGCAATTTGGACGATTTTTCCCAGAAAAATTACAAACCATTGTTTGGCCTGAACTGATCCAAATTAATGGAAAGGAGATATTAAGAATAAACTTTTAGAAATACTTCCTTTACAGACATGAGTATAAAACTTCCTAATACAAAGCTACGAATTATCAAGTAAACCACAACATGTTACCGAATTTAGACTGAAAGAGTATGAAGCAAAATTTATAGTACGATCAATACATCTTACGACTTTGCTTCGTATTCAAACAGGACTTTTTCAGTTTTTTCAGTAATAGAAAACACAGCTTTTCCAGCATAAGAAAGAACAATTAACTATTCGCATCAAATAATTGAAGTACTTACCTATAAACTTTTTTCCTTGTTGAACCCGTACTCATAGCAGCAATAATCAGTAACATTAATGCCGCTAATGCCATTAACACGGCAACAACCACAAACAATGCTTGCATCTACAATTAAAGGAATTACATGAACCAGAAACAAGCTGAACATAAAGTAAATAAATAAACTAGAAAAAAAATCCCAGAATGAATGTGATACATATGACCTAGTCATACTTCAAAACTGTGCAACTGAGCTATACAAATTTCCTTTGTGAAATAGAATTTCTGTACTTAAAACATTTATTGGAAGAAAATTATGTGCTGATTTGAAAAATTGAAATAATGATTAGGTGCTAAGACTTTAGAAGTGGTCTTAACTGTTGAAAAATGTGATAAACAAAATAACTCACTTCTAATATGCTACCAAATAACTATGATAAAATTCAAGAAAACTAAAAATAATTAAAAAAATACCGAAAGTATGTAACTCGAATTTTTAAAATGTCGCTAAAATTATAACGTGACTTATTGATCTAAATAAATACTAAAATTACTTTTGCAAGCCAAGGTAAATTTTCCACATTGAACATTCGTCGTGCTTGTTCTACAGATGCATTAAATGCCCAAGCCATGACTAGTGCAAAAAGTATTACACCAATGCCACACATCAACGTAGCAATAACAGAAGCGTACGGTACTTGAGAAAGACATTCATCTCCACCATCACATCCAGCTTTCTTTCCATCTTCGTTCCCCCACTGTGGGCGAAAGCCCATTCTATTAATCAGTCTTGATCCAAATCCGTCCAACAACACTCTAAAAAGCATAAACTGATAAATGTACTAATCCATGGGATAAAGCGAGATAAAAACATGTAAGATCACTTTTTTTGTTTTAATCTCCATGTTCATCTCTAATTGTTATTAAACACTGTAAATAATTTTACGGTAATGAAATAAACCTTTCAATCATTTCTTTTAAATTATTAATACAGTTAAAATAACACAATTCACAATGTACTGAAATGACAATGAAATGAATACTGACATATATGCTTGTTGAAAACTTGCACCTTTTAAAAGTTAATTTTTCTGTCATTGCTTTAGATTACTAAAAAATGTTACAAACTCTCAACTGTCAACTGAACTGTAATTTGTGTCCTTCCCTAAGAAAACTTAATCTTGAACTAATCATATATATAAATCACAGCTTTCTGTGATCTTCTATTAACTAAAGATCTTCTAATTTAGCAATTTTATAAACTTGACATGAAATAACTGAACAAATTTATGTTTGAGCTTTAACAATTTAATATCTTCATCAGTTGCAAAACTACAAATTTACTTGCTCTATTACAGCAACAAATACAGAGTACACTGATTCCCAAAACAGGATACCAAAGAGTAAATGCAAACTACCAATTCAAGTACTGCTTTTAATAAGCTCAATTTTACGCGGTCTTTAAATGCAACGGTTTAGTACAAATACTAATTTTTTTTCAAACGTATAGCTGATTGATATGAACTCAGATTTTTGAGATATGCAAGAAAAAAAGACCAATTATAAAATAAAGTTTATTGGTTCATTTAAATGTACTATAAACTTGAGGACTTGCAGTAGGCTATATTTTTTCAACCAAAATTGTTATTTAAATTTAAAATTCGATGCAACATTTATTTTTCGTCTAAAAAAATAATATTTGTATGTATTCTGTATTTATTCGCTATATTTGAAAATAATATTGTAATTTTGATGTAATTCAATTAATCCTTAACTTTTCAATTATCCATTCCAACTGACGGCTGTCATCATAGCTTTATTAATTCATTTCATAAATTGTAATTCACGTATTGTAATAATGTTTTGAAGGTAAAATATGCTGCATTTAAAGACTCGTCAGTTGTTAAGCTCAAGTTAACAACAAGTTTGAATGCTACTAGTTGGATTGACATTAGGTTGGAGCTTGTTTCCATGCATTCTTACAACATTTCTTTAATTTTAATCAGTTTACTTATTTTTCCAACTTTTGATGCTAATGCAAATTTATTAAAATATATAAAGATAGTCTATTATTGTATATTATTATCAATTTTTTATAAATGAGCTGAAAGCATTCGATAAATATTTATTATGTCTATCCATTTGTATTCTTCTGAATTTTTGTAATTTTTTGTTTATCTTGTACAAAATTAGATTGTTTTTAATTTTCAGTAGTTCAGTATTTGATAAATCTTTTAACGGATACTCTTAAATATTTTTATTCTTTTGAAATTTGTATTTTAAAAAAGGAAAAAGAAATAATCAAACAAATGCATCTATCAAAGTATACTTTCAAAAAAAAAATTAGCATGAAATGCACACGGAAATTGCTCGATGAAGAACAAACGTGCAATATAAATTGACAAATAATGAAACCTTCTTGTTTTTAGAATAATTATTCTAGTAATTAGTACTCATTATTGCAGTTTACGGATCTTGCCATATTATTAATAACTTTTTTTTTCTTCAGAACACCATTAAAAATATGCACGTTTTAATAATTTTATAAAAGGCAACTCTATCAATTTATTACTAATTTTTTACTTCAAAAAACATTAGCAATGAAATTGCTAAATATTGTGCTATTTATTTAGGTAAATTTGGCTTCAAACTGTGATAATTCAAGAAGAAATAATAATGCAACAAAAAGTAATAAAATAACAATAATAACTACATAACTAGGATTTGGACAATATTTTATTGACAGTATTGTCAAACATTTTTACTCATTGTCGCCATAACTACGCATTTTATCTGTTGAAAATACAATTTACATAATTTGAACAGTTTTTTGAAAAAAATCCGAAAAATTCAAATAAAATTAAAAAAGCTAAGTACTTTATGTTACTTAATGTATACTAAATTCTTTAACCAATTAAATGTTATTAGACTGAAAAAAAATTGCCAGAAATTATGCAAATTGTGCTGGTATTTTAACTGCTTACAAACTTATAATCATTTTGAAAATAAAATTCTAATGTCTTCTTAGTGATGTGTTGTAGTTTTCAGAAGCATTTTCGATAGTTGTTGCTTCAACTGCTTAAGCATATGCAAGAATGGCTATTTCTTGCGTTAAAAACTTTTAATAATAATTAAAATTGCTCCCAAAAAAATTCTTGAAGATTGCTTTGCCATAAATTATCAATTTTGAATAGTTTTTAAAAAAGCTGACTATAAAATTTAGAAATGATTTCTGTAATAAAAATTCATCTAATATTTACTTCTTTTTAAATTTTTAATAAAATAATTTTGCAAACTTGTAGTTAAAAATTTAATTTCTTCAATAACTCACTGAATATTGTCAACATAATACGAAATTTATGTTTCAGTGATGATGAAAATTTGCATGAAATATTATTAAATCTGACATAAATTTTTCATCTAGTAAAATTGAGAAGTTTTGGAACGAAAATTTTTATATGAAAACAATAACTTTTCTATATTGTCGTTACATTTAGATTGAAATTTGATTTTGTATTTTGTGGTAATTAAAGTTTAATTTTTTATTTTGTAATAATTTCGAATTGTTGCAACAAGAAATGCATTCCAAATCAATTCAGTCAACCAATAAGTTTGATTTTTTTTAGCCAGGAATTATAATTGCATAAAATAGTAAAAAATTCTTATAAAGAAAATTTTATATGAAAAAGCCAATTTATTTTTATTTTTTAATTTAAAATTTTTTTTGATTCAAATTTCACTTGCATTGTAAATAATCAAGTTTGAGTTAGCACTTATACGTAACTCTAATGCGTTTAAAGATAACTCATATTTGTATGAAAAAAGTAATAAGGAAGAAAACTTGGAATGTATTTGCTTTTAATGCAAAAAAATATGCAATCAACTAGAAGACACAAATTTTGCTTTTTACTATCAAAGCTTGTGATTTTGCTTGAAAACAAGGTGATTGTCAATCAGACTAGCATATTTTAACTCATTGCCCCCTAAAATATATTTGAAAATCACTAGGCAGAAATAAACAAATTAGCAGCTTATTGTACTAATAAGTAATAAAATAGAGTGAAGTGCATAGAAAGGTCTAATATTTGCTTTTAAAGCCTAGCATGCATTAAACTAGAGTGTTGTATTAAATATTTGAAGTGATGCTCAATTAGTAAATTAAACATTTTGAACTAACTATTTATTTGATGCAATTTGAATTCGGCAAAATTTCATTTTCGATCACTAAAAAATTACTAATAAATTGTAACTGATACTTTTTAATTAAAACCTTAAAAATAAAAAGTTACTGATTAGTTTTGATTTAAATATTTGAAAGTGATATAATGATAAATTTTAAATTAATAATTTCAGTAAATATGTATTTAATCAAAGCACTTAATTTTCAGCAGAATGCTGAATGAAATTTATTAAAGCAATTATCTGAGAGTGAACTTCACTTAATCTTAACATCATTTTGTTTGCACTAGAGCAGACTAATCATTATCTATTGATGATCAAAGCATAATAAGTGTTGGAATTTTGCATAATTCCTTTAATGCAGTAGCAAATTTGTTAAATATGGATGTTAAAAAAAATTTGTCAGTTAATTCCATAATCAGTGGTGTTAAATTTAAACAACTTTAAAAGCTTTGTTTGACATACATATAATGCTTAATAATTTAGTTTTGCATTTTATCTACTTTTTAGCGTAAGCAGATTTTTTCAATAATATATTCTTACAATTTTACCATATTTTATTCCTTTTTTGCATCATTTCATTTCTTACTTAAGTTTTGCCCAAATAAAAGTGATGCTTGCAGTTTAGTTCTGCGATTCCAGCAAAGAATTACCACCAAAAGAAGTTTTCTTTTAGCTCAATTTGGATTTTTTGAGCTTAATTTATGTCTAATATTTTTCATTTCTTTCGCATCACCACTTCCATTTATCATCTGTTCCATCAGGATAGCTATGTCCTAACCTTTAATCATTATCATATCATTTATAACTTATCTCGTTAACAAATTTGCAATAAATGTTCATAATTTACTTGCAATAAATAAGGCCTTGACTTTTAAAAGCATGAAATAGTTATTATTGAAGTTGAATAGATATGTTTCAAGCGAGACTAAAAATAAAATTTATTAGCAGTGTAATAATTCAATAAATTCTTAAAACGAATAATTTTCTGAAGAATGAAAAAACTTGAGATAAAAAAATCCGACTATTAGTCAGCTAATAGAGTAGTCATTTATTGAATTTTTGCCTTGGAATGATATTTATGTTCAAATGGCTTTAGTTAACTAAGCATAGCCTTGTGTTGCGGTCAATTTGAACATGAGCAATAACTAGGAATTACTTATATTTATTAAAATATGACTGCTTAGATTACTTTGAATTTATTGAAAATAGCAGTTCACAGATGTAAAATTTTTTGAGCTTAATTTTTACAAAAAAAAAAAATAGTAATAATAATTTAATGATATTTTATGCAAATTAATTCCAAAAAATTATCAGCTGGCAAAGAAAAAAGTAAATGTTCATTTCAGTTTGTAACATAAAGAACTGTGACAAGATAACAAAATGTTACATAATGATAACATTAATAAAATTTAATAATACAACTAATTCTTTATTAGATTTTTGTAGACTTTATAAATGTTGCATTTTTACATATAATCATTGATATTTGATAAGCTTTATAATTTTTATAATAATTTTGACAATGTACAAAATTTATAACAATGAAAACTGAAAACTTTGAAAAGCTTTTTAGCATAAATAATGGTTTCTATGAGAAAAACAATCAAAAAATTGAAGATATTTTTCAAATTTT